TTTTTTTTTGTTCAGTGCAATACAGTAATACAATTTTTCAAATTTTACTGCTTCAGAGTGCAGTAAAAATGCTTTGAATTGATGAAAATTTTTGAAAATTACTAACAACATTATCGACAGCATCTTTTTGAGATGAGTATAGTTTGGAAGGTAAGTCAGTTGTCTGCTCTAAACCATTGTGGAAATCGTAAGCAAGCAAAAAGAGCAAATCTATATTCCTGCAAATTGTAATGCAAAAAAAAAAAACTGTGCTAAGTGATAAAATCATCAATCAAGACTTTCAGCATTTCTTATAGCCAAAATATCATAATAACAGTTTCAGTACTTCGCCAAAAAGTCAACTTGATAGCTTGCGTCGATTGAATCTTTCTGTGCCGAACCAGCAATTGTTAAAACTAGCTGCTCGTTGCTTGAAAATTGACTTTCTTTCATAAATGCTTCCTTAATTTCCTGAAAGTATGAATTTCGATATTCTCAGCGATTAAAATTCTCACTTGAGATAGCATTGACAGCATTTCGCTCTTAATGAGTTCACAATGATTATTCTAGGAATGAGTTACAACTGATTCTTCGTTCATCAAATTCTTTCACAGCTTTTGTGTTGTTTCAAAGACTCAACTGTACTACCCATTGATCCGTACTTGTGAGCTTACATCAGGGTTGATATTTAGTAAGAAAGCACCTTAATGAAATTAGCATGTTCGTATTCCTTCCCCATTTCATTCCAATGTAGAACAATTCCATCGAATTTATGTTTTCGTACGAATGCTATTGTAGATTTTGTGAAGTTCTTCCTTTTTTCTATGGACTGTACTATTATCTTTAAAATACTATTATTCAAATCTATGCCTATCTGATTTCTTAAATAGTCGTTTCAAATAAATTTTCATTACTCTTGGCATATTTCAATTAAAGTCTCAACTTTTCAGCCGCACATCTCAGCATAATTTTATCTGAACTAATCTCACTATAACTGATTAATATTTTTATGACTCACATTCTGCTACAGAAAATTTCTAAGCAATGAAAGCTAAAAAGCAGCGGTCTTTTAAGTCATTACAAAAATTGTATTCGTTTGTAAAGTTAACAAATTTTTCAAAACACTTGAAATACTACTACTACTTTAGCCTGACTGAAATTTGGTACCATCAGAATACTTGAAACTATTCAATCCATTTCATAATTATTTAAAAAACTTTGAATACTTCAAAATTATCATAAAGTTTATAACAATTGTTATAAGTAATCAATACTGTTAGTTTTCAAAATCGTAAAAATGAACCGAAAACGCTTTTGAACCCAAAGCACCACCATCGAAAGCTAGAAGAACTTTCAGTTTCGGATTGATATTTTTCAAATTAACCACGCGAGCATACAAGCCTGGTCTTGATCTGATAGCTTCATCATTCCACTCTGTTGGACTATAATAATTAAAGTAAAAGTGGTTAAGACTTGTCTCCAAATTTTTGATCTGTTTTGAGCATTCTCTTACTCTCATTTTATGTGATGCTGCAAATTTATTGCCATCAAAAAAATATATTGTTTTATAAGTCAGATAATCTCAACACGCATATAAACAAAATATAGTTATTAAGGAAAATAATGAAAGCATAATTTTTGAAAAATGTTACGAGCTGCCCAATAATTATGCTAACTTTCTATAATTATGTATTTCAAAAAATATATCCGCTTATATTTATTTTTTTTTTTTGAGATACGAAATTACGGGAGAGTTAGCAACAATATTAGCAGAATCATTCATTTTTTACATACAAAAATTTCTGATGAATTTAAGTTTGGTGGTTTTTGTACACAATATCTTGTTATGAACGAAATTTCTATTGGCATTATGAAGTATGAACTTACATTGCCGTACCTTCTGCTGTAGCACTTGCAAATGCATAAAGGATATGAGTGCATAAATTACTTGCAATATCTTCCGGTAAAAATGCTCCATTGGATTCTGAATAAAAAGTTAACTATTCCCGTTTACTAAATATGCTACATTTTAATGATTTTGTTTACCAATTAAATAAAATGCAGTGAAATTTACTTGGTGTTATGATAAAATTTTAAATTAAAGATAACCTAGACGATACTGAGCCCAATTTGTATAGTAGCAACCTCGAATGTAGCCTACAAGTGAACTTTTTTGAGTTAAACATTAATCTGTTTAATTCCTAAAGTTCATGGATCCATTTTAAAGATTACTTTAAAAACTACCGATAAACTGGTTAGAATACAGAATTAATTCATCTGAAATTACCGTGGTTTTTAGTATTTCTCTATTTCCAAAATAATTTTAATCAAAGATATGATCAAAAATTTTGGTCCTTAATTTTTTCCATTTTATGTCTTTTTTTAAAAAAAAAAGTTTAAAAAACAGTCGCAACAAAATCCTGATTTCTAGTAGCACTGGTTCCAAATAAATAATGCCTATTATTGATAACTTTACTGGTAATTATCATCTACCGTTTCACAACTATAGTCTTTTGGTATTTTAAAAAATTTTTTATACACAGCTTACCATAAGTGAAAGTTGTTAGAACACTGAAGAAAATAATTGAGGATATAAACACCATCACGTTTGGAGAGAGCTATGTTAATTTCTGAAGCTTATGCAGCACTTATTATTGGCAATATAATATACTTGATAAAAACATCACATTATTTAGTTTTTTAAATTAAATATTATAATTATCATTTAATTGCGAAAATTTGCTGACTCTTATTGAAAAATCAGTCGAAGCAAGTAGACTAAAGAATTAGTTAAACTGACTCTCGAAAAGAACTGTCACAAAATTGTTTACGATTCGTGGATTATATGGAATTAACAACTGCTTGTTCAGCTTGACATCGTACTTATAAAAATAACAGACAAAATACAAAAATATTAGTTAGTAAAACTGACAAAACAAATGTTTTTTTCAAATTTAGTCTATACTTCTACTATTTTTCTGCTGTCTTACTGACAATAATAAGTTCTGTTCGCAAGATTCGAAAATTAGACGATAAATCCTTCCAAAACGTTGGTTGTTTGAAAACTATACTATCACTGCGATATGCCTATTTTTAATTCTAATATTGTAAAGACCATTGGTGTTGTTTCAACTTTCAGCAATCACTGGTTCCAGACTGCTAAAGCTTGTAATGCTTATCACAAATCTAAAACCCGTCAAAAATCTCATAAATGTGAATTTTATTTCATAATTTTTGTACAGTTTGCTGGCATAAAATTAATTTTATTCTTTGCAATTTTGATACAAATTCTGCAAATTTTCGCATACATCAGAGTTTTGAGAATTTGAAGTTCTTTGACGGAACGCTACTGTGTTACTCGTTTGAGTATGAATGAAACTTTATTGATGTCTATTGTTGAATCTTTAAGATAGGTAGATTTAACAAGCTGAAAGTAGTGAAAAATACTCTTGTCGAATTTGAACATAAGAATTCAAAAACAATGAAGAACAAAAATACATCCATATCTAGAACAATTTATTGAATGTATAGTACGAAGATCAATCTGATTCTAATACTGTAGAAAACTATATTTTTACTGCTAACAAATAGCGAATAGCAAACAACTTTACAATGCACATTCTCTTGAAAAAATCTGAACCGCATATAAATCATACACGCTCATATTTCATGCATTCTTGTCAGTAAAAAAAAAAATAGGGGAGTTAGATAATTGCGGAATGAAATAAGAAAATACATGGCACGAATTTCTGTTATTTCACCTCAATCCCTTCCAAATCCGACCAAGTGATGACGTTACAATACAAAAAGCGTAATCGGAAACTGATTATTTCCAACATTTTATTGAAATTTGACACCGACTTTTCCAACTGTTATGTTTCTACAGTATTCTTTCCAAAAAACTTATCCTGGAAAACTCTATAGGAGATTATATGACAGGATCTTATATGGGGCATTTATAGAATATTTAAATATGATTGAAGACTTTCAGTGAATGTAAAGTGAATACAAAGAAAAGTGATTCATATGCAAAAAGTTCGATATTTAGGGTATGATATGACAGGTAAATAGATGATCAAGGTTGTCACCAAATTCTGGCGCTGTTAAAGTTAGTGTTATTTAATGACAATCTTGTCTATTTTGGTTACTTCTAATTCATATTACCTTTGAAAAAGTTTTTTTTTATTGTGGAATTTTTTATTCTTATTGTTTTATTATTGTTCGGTTCCTGTATTACTGGAGTCGATTTCCCTAGTTGTTTTGAGGGGTGTAAATTCGAAAACTCCTTAAATGGATGATTAAAATTATATAAATTGAGAGTTTGTAACAAAGCAGATAATTACAGTAAACATTGAGCATGTTTGGTTTCAACTATTTTGACATGATAAAAATTTATCTTTCACAATCATAAATTAGACTTCTCAACAGATAGAATTACTGCCATTTTAAACATACCACACAGATGTGCACGAATGGTTGCATTCACAAGCCATAGTACATTACTTTTCTTTGTGCCATACCACACTCATAAATCACATTTTATCCAATGTGATGCATAAATTCGCCTACACTCAAACAATCACCGTACAGTGATTGATTTTCAAATTCACTCAACCATCAACAGCTAGTATACCACATTCCTACCATATGTTTACAAGGAATTTTTCCCTTCAAAACGAGTAAACTACGGATTAATTGATTAAAGTGTCTACTAATTAGCTTTAATAATATATATGAATAGAGAGGAATTATAAAATTTATAACAATTTGAAGTTGCTTCTTAGGAATGGAATTATAAAATGCATTAAGAAACTATTCCATCCTTAAGATTTACATCTTACTTTCCGACTAGATGATATACCACTTACTTTTTTATGAAAACATCTGTTTATTATGTTCATGTTCTAACCATATGAAATAATAATTGTGACAAACCAACAGAATGTTTCTAGTCCAAAAAATCAGTATTCAACATCACAATTTTCAAAATAAGTATGATCTTGTAGTTCCTAGAAAATGATGTTCTATTTTTGCGTTTAATTTTCAGTTGTACTAATTCCTTGAGTACGAAAAACACCAGTCAGTCTTGAGTTACAATAAGTGGGTAATTAATCATGAATGAAAACTCAAGTCTTGTTTTATGCATTCACACAAATAACATTTGAAGTTCAGAAATCGTGCTGCGTCTTTGTTACATCTTCTGCTAACTACTAATGAATTAGTCATTATGTAAATCTCATCTAAGATATACTGTCTAATTTTAATAAATTATCTCTCTCATACACGAATAACAGTATACAACTAAACATCAATTCACTCAAACTTCAACAAACTAGTTGTGTAAGGTTACAAAATGAACCTAATGTTATCCAGATTGGCATAGAATATGTCACAAAACCTCTACTCTAAATGTCTTTAAAATTTGTTTCCAACTGTACTTAAGACCAATATATAAAAATTTTGCGAGAAAAAATTTCAAAGCTAATTTGAAATTGAAGAGATCACAATAGCAGTTAAATGGTCGTTAGTAGCAAGCTGAATAAATGCCAGCATATTTTTAAAAATGGAGGTCAGCGTGATGCCTAGAGGAAGAAGACATCATTCTCAGCTGTGTGTTATTTATTGCATGAATCTGCTTTTTTTAGATTATGCTTTACGATTTTTGTCTTTCAACGAATTTTCAAGTGATGAATTACGTTAGATTGTTGTTTGATAAACTCTCCTACGGAAAACGCACAGCAATCTTAGTTTGCTACTTCTATTATTAGACATAAAAAATATGCGTTTTGTAATTCATTCAAATATTAATAATAAAGGTAACTAGTAAACTTTTTGCAGTGAAATAGCAATTTGATACTACTGTGTTCAGGTTCAAGTAATTAGTCGATACTTAATATTTTCGAATTAGCAGGCACGTGTTCCTACCAATTAGTTTTCGACTGCAAAAGTCTAAAAATTATCAACGCAATCAGTTACTCATTTGCAGAGCAAAAAAATTATGCGATCTCTTACAAACAAGAAAATTTTATTTCAGTGACCGTAACCCATTTTGTGAACATAATGTCAGTTCATTTGATTTTCTTTTTGCCAAAACGGTTATGAAGTTTGTTTGACTAAATAATGCTTTTTTAATTTCTGACGTTTCAGTATAGTAAAAACGAAGGAACCTTTTTTTTGCTTTGTAGCAAATATTTTAATATCCAAAGTTCATACTTTTATTTTTTTTTAAGACTCTGAAGCCTTGTTACACAAAGATTCTTCCTGGACTACATCAATAAACAAAGTCGCTGCTTGAGCTGACGTTTTTCGGTTATGAATATTTTCAGTGTGTCCGATTTTAATGTGATGTACACACAGAATATTTGGAAACATTTGAAAATTTAATCCCTACAAGTCTGAATAACTTACAAATTGATATGACAGAAAAGTTAATACATCACAACTCGAAATTGCTTTACTTTATGAGTCAAAAAATTCTTTTTTGCATTCTGTTGGAGCTGAATACCAATGATCACAACCTTTAATTTCGTCATTGTAATAAGTTAATACTCCGCAAGTCATCACAAACGGATAATTGAATGCACAGTTATAAAATTTTCGGCAGTCATTTGGATATACGAATAAGCCATCACGTTGAGGGCACTTAAAGTCTGCAAGAAGAAAAAAATAAAGAAAAATAGAAAAATTTATAGAAGAATGTGGATGAATTGAAAATATTGAACTGATTTATGTTACTATATTCAAAGCATTTTGACACTATTTTTAGCACGAAATATCCACTAATGTATTGCCGAGAAGCTTTTAAATTCTCTTTTGAACCATTTTCTCAGTGACATAAAATTCTTTATTTCAGATCGTAAGAGTAAAAATAGCATCTGTATTTGACTTCATCCTCAGAATTCTTTAAATTCAATTTTTAGTAGATGAGTAAATGTCAAAAAATTCCTCTCAATTTTGTGAAAAATAATTTTTGTTTTGTATGCCTTATTTATATAAACAGCATACTTTTAGACATTCTAGTATCTAAAGACAGATTACTTAATATTTGGTGAGAAATTTAGAGAACTTGTTTCAGAAATGATATTCTCTAGAACTTACCAGTGTGCTCAAAAATCACAGTCCTTTTAGTACTTATTCTAACAGTATTTGATGTTGTGGTGCTCGGTCTAACAGTAGTTGATCTATTTGCTCTTTGCAATTCTGGTGTTGAACTCGATAATGCAAGCGTTGTTGAGGGCGTCGGACTTGTAAATGTTGTTTCATCTGTTTCCGACTGCAATAATACATTTTAAACCTTTAATTATTCCAGAGGCAATTTCGTTCATAAATATATTCACATATTCATGAAATAAACTATTTCACTTCTGCCACTTTCCAAACACATTGAATAAGTACTATTATTACTCTTCTTAAAGCAGTACTTCATGCATCTTATTTCACTCACTATGAATATCCATTCATCATGCCACTTATTATTTTTAGAAGGAAGCCTTCATAATATAAATACTTCATCATCTGTCTCTAGAGCTTCATTGATAGCAGTCAACAGTGGATACACACCAACACCGCAGTTGGTTCCTTTGAAGTCATCCGAATTGAGACTCCATAAGAATGCACCAGCAAATCCTTGTTCTTTCAGCCATTTCACCTTAAAACGCAAAACTGGTGGGAATGCTCGATCACTAATTTTTAATTAATGCTAAAAAAACACCAATCCCATACATTAAATTTTTATTTATTACTATGTTTTGATCGCTAAGTGTATACATACCTTTATTTTAATGGTTTCTGGATTATCATAACCATACCACCTATTTGCTTCAGTTAAATATGCACCAACAAGTTCCTTGTCCACCGTTTCTTTTGCATTTGGATTATTACAGATCTTTAATAGCAATGATAAATTTTTGATTATTTCGTTATATCTCGCATTATTTTATTTTATCTTGTTATTTTTACTTTTTTGCTTCTATTAATAGAATGTAAATGAAAGAACACCTCGCGGTAAGCAGCTCTACCACCTCCATTGCCCGTTCGCAATGGTGGTGAAGGACCACTGGCTCTAGCTCCGATGGCTGTTTGCGAAGCATCTGCTAAAGTCCATCCTGCAGCAAAGCCTGAGATTCCTATGACAATTTTCTCTTTCGGCATGCCTATACTAGACCAGTAATTGGCTGCGAATGCCTGGAAGTGGAATTTTTTTGGCTTATTGGATGAATGATTTGCTGTCTTAGATCATTTGATGCAAGCAGTAAAACTTTAGTAAAAAATTTTATTGCTTCAGAGGGCATTTGTCTCATTTAATGCTTTTAGCTTGCAAGCAACTTTAAACTACGTTTTAAAGGAATCTTTTGAAGTTACTAACAGCGTTATCAGTAGCTCCTTGTTGAGATGAGTAAAGCTTGGCAGGTAAATCAACTGTAGCCTCTAAACCATTGTGGAAATCATAACTCAGCAAAAAAATCAAATCAACATTCCTGTAAATAGATGACATTTATGGTAAATTGGGAATTTGATGAGAATTTTCAGTTAACACTTAATTAGTTCCTTTGATGATAATTTTAAGTTATGAATTTGTCGATCATAATTAAACTCCCTGTTATTAATCAAAAGTAGCACTAGATTTAAGCATTTTCCTTACTCTTCAAAGTAGTCAACATCGTAACTAATGTCGATCACGTTTTTCTCTGCAGATACGGCAAGTGTCAGAAGCAGTTGGTCTCGGCTAGATGACTGACTTTCTCTCATAAAGGCATTTTTAAGCTCCTGTAATATTGTGAATTACATAAATTTAAGATTTTGAGAACCAACAATTTCTTTGTAGTAACTCAATTAGTAACTCAGTCAGTGAATATTTAGACAATTATTTGAATGCTTAGAATATGGGTGATTCACAGGTACCTTTCCTTTTTTGTGAGTTTGAATATTTATATAATAGGAGTCAGAATAATGAGTTGAAGCAATGAAACTGTAAATATGCTATAGTGAATTTCACTTAAAAATACATTTATGGCCATAGATGTCGTGTACTCAAATCAAATGTGAATGATACTTGGAGGAAAAGTGAAGTTATTTAAAAATTATGCATTTCTGTTTTTTTTAGTGGCAATACTTCATCTTAAGGCAGTTACCCTAACAAGTGTAGCATGTTCCAGACCCATATTAACCGGATATTCCCACTGTAGGATCATGCCGTCAAAGTTGTTTCGGCGCAAAAAATCAACCGCTGATTGAGCGAAATTTTTCCTATTTTCTGATGATTGCGCGATTATCTAGAAAACACAAAAATATCCTTGCAATGCCTTGCCGATTCTGAGAAAAAAGTCGAAATTATGTTTCTGAAATTCTAAGCAGTCTTTCATAAAATTAGTGTTTATAAAGTGTCCCCGTCTTAAACAAGTCAGAAAATTTATCACTATTTAAAAGAGTAATATTAGCATTCATTAAGACTGAATTTGATCGATACATGATAATTTGTTGTGTTTTTGAATAACCCAAGTAAATACTTTTGGAAAAAAAGCATATATTAAAACGAACTGAGAAGTTTGATTTACGAGAATCGTCAGTGATGTGTCCACCATAAGCTAAAAGAACTTTCAATTCTGGATCGTTGTTCTTGAATTCTGTTACAAGTGAATACGTCCCTTGTGATTCAGCATTTCCTTCATTTTCTTCATCGTTCCATTCCGATTTTCTAAATAATACATTCATTGTCAAGTAACTGGTAACAACTGTAGTTTATTCCATTATTATGGTCATTATAAGCTAGAAAAAACAGAGTGTTTGCTGAAAAAGAAAAGCACGTTGAAAAGAAATATTTGTGTTGAAGTTAGCAAAAACTATTGCTGATAGAATTATTAAAAACTTCATGAAATTCTATCAGACAGGGCTAGAGGAATGATACAACTGTTATAGCTCACTGTTTTTTTTAAGATTATTGGCTCAAACTGATTAAAGGCAGTACAAGGTAGTAATGGATAGTACTTGAAGCTATTTGCAGTCATTTATTTTTCACCGGTTTGTGTACTTACGGTACTAAAAAAATGTTAGCTTACATAGATGTTCCACTGTCGTCGAAAGATGCAAAATAATAAAGAATGTGAGTGCATAGTCCTGCAGGAATATCTGATGGTGCAAATAAGCCACCTCCTTGAGAATAAAATAAAATCATCTAATTCATGATTCTGAATATTCTGAACAATGTGCCAACTTATATACTGGCTTAAAATAAAAGTTAACCATTCTTCCAAATATAATTTAGTGCGTCATAAATTTGAATATATATTATAATAGGACATAACAAAAATCTGATTTTTTCAGTTATAGAAACTCATCTACCTAATCCGTACTGCGCTGAGTTATCGAAGTAACATCCTCGAACGTAATTGGATTCTCCAGAATCATATTGTGCTTAATAAGATACCAATTATCATATTTATACGGTTTATTTATAATACTTTTTGTAAGTAACTTAGTACATACAGAGATAGAGAAAAAGTATACAGAATTTTCTTCATTTAGCGCTTACTATGACAAATATATGCAAATTTACTTTCATGAGTAAATAAACTCGAAATTCTTTAGAGATAGAAAAGAAGTAATTGATAAGAAAACTAGTGACTGGATGGAACAAGTTCGTTCAGACAGTTGAATTTCAACGTTCTAACAGTGAAAAAGTTTTTTTTGACATGCATATTATAACTTTTGCCAAGTACCGAAATAACATATCAGCAGCAACGAAAATTGATTCCACGTATGGCCAAAATAGATCAGTACGTACGTCACGTCATAAAGTAATTTTAAGATATATCCATAATTACCTTAGATATTTCGTTGCCTTTAATCTATTTCTTGTGATCAAATTGAACTATTATATTCAGAAAAATGATTTGAAAAATATAATTTACCATAAATAAAGATAGTTGAACAGACCAATGATATGAAAGTAATGAATGATTTCGTCTGCATTCTTAGAGTTGCTATCCTGAATAATATCTAACAGACATTAATAACAAAAAATTGATATTATAGGAGATATCAATTTTTTGTTATTAATCTTCCATTTTTCAGGAATTGCATCTGCTTTGTTTTTTGATGCAATTTGAATAATTCAATCATAACATGATATTGAGATTTATGCATAAATTATTGATGAAGCAATTACTTTAGCTATGATTTCCCCATTACTCAACCCTGGTAATATGGTTACAGAAATGAAGATTGAAGCAGATCACAAACTTTAAATAATTTTGATAAGTTAGATCAGCTTGACCATATTGCAAGGACTGAACTAACAAATGAAATTTTCAAAACAAAAATCTCGAAAACATGCAAAATGTACATGTCTTTAAAGATATTTTTTCACTTTTAAATTCATTCAGTTTACTGTTTTTTGAAAATATTTTTCAACAGTAAACCCTTTTGTTCCTCCATACAGATTTGACAACTGTAACATTCTTTTCGTTCAAGCCTTCAGTAATAAATTCTTCAGTGTACAATTAATGGAAAGCTGCACAAACATGTAATCCAAAGCTCCGCGAAATAAACAATAATTTCATCTTTTTATGACATGAATTCAATTACAGTTAAATAAACATATCTTCGAACACAGCATAACAACACGTGTCAAAGGTTGTGCGCTAAAACCGCAAATATGGTCGATTTATTCAGTTTGCAGAGCAAATACATAAAAAAGAAGATTAGAAATAGCTGTAATAACAGCTAACAATGAAATACAGGATATTACAATAATTTTTAACACTGGCAATCAGAAGGGTCATACTCGTTAATATGAATATATACTGTGTGAAAATCAAACAAAACGAAACAATTTTACGCTATAGACATCAAAAGTGGTTTAATATTCTACAATTTGAAACATACTTTTTTAATTTTTTGTCATTGTAACTCTGTCTTAACCACTCATTTCTTCAAAATTTTTAGAAATAAGAAACATTTTGTATCAAAAATATAAATTTCTATGACAAATGAAGACTTTCCGCGTATCCTCGATTTTAAACTCTTAAAGTGTCCTTAAATGCCGAAAAGTACGATCCCCACATAATACTAAGTTATTCTCAATAATCTGACTATTTTCTCTAATTTAATCTAATTTATTAATTTTTCATTTTGATTGTTAAGGAACTATTAAGCAACAAGAATCATAACAGTAATAAAAGTGATGAATTTAAAAGAATATATGGCGATTAAAATTAATAAAAGTCAAGATTATCATCGAAAAGAAAATAATGATAATTATACCAATGATATTTTGAAAATAATGACAATTATTGATGATTTTGAATAATAACGCTAATTATTAGTTTTTTATTTTTGGTTTTGTATTATTGGAGATTCTTTTGATTCCATCAGATTTTTTTTATTTCATCAATTTTTTTGACTCCATATTATTATTTATGATTTTTTTGATTCTATCCATTCCTTGACAACAGTCTTTTTTCGTGTTTATTAATTTTATTCTGTTTTGCACATTTTCAAAGTAATGTTTTCAATATCCCATCCAATTTGCCTTTTGATGTTGCTCCTACAAGCTAGCTGAGCAAATATTTTTGATAAATAACTGTCAACAGATTGTTTGAGTAAAGTTCACCTTGGCATATCAATATTTATCGGTATAAAAGCAACAGTACCTATCATATAACAGTACCTTCATAGCAAAAATTCTGTTCTTTCATATTTCTAGATAAAGTATGACCGCTAATGTTACCCAAATATTATGCTTGCATTTTAAATGTAATAATTCAGAACAGCAACCTCAAAATGTCACGAATGTCGCTGTTCGTTCTCGTAACAATCATCTTTGCAGTTACCATAATCTACGGTAAATTAGAGCTGCTAAAAACATTACAATAAGAAAAAGTTATTAAATTCAAAAACTGAACAGAACAGATGAATGTAAAATCATTGAAGAACGTTTGGTTATGAAGGAGTTTTAGAATATTAATTGTGTAATGAAATTTGTGGTGATCAGGTTATACGTTTTACTTTACTCAAAACTCCAACCTATTTGAAAGCGGTGACCTTTTTTTGATTACTATGGATAAGGGTAATATTGGTTGCAGTTGCGACATTCATCTGAGAAAAGAAATTTTTTCCTTTACCGTGTGTAATGAAGTACTCTTATAAAACAAATTAATAGCTCGATAAATGCTTGTAGTTCTCTTTAAATTCCAATTCTAATAACAGACAGAACCAAATCAACCCTAATTCTGTGACAAGATAACCACTAACTCTGCGTGAGTAATTGCTGAAGCACTCATCGTGAAGCAGAGTTCAAAAAATTGATGTTAAAATAAATGAATTGACGCCCCGAAAGAAATGCGATTTTACAAATGATACGTTTTATTTTAGCGCAAGAAGCTACCAGGAAATCAAGCTATGTTCGAGCATGCTACATGGACACAATAACGCCGAGGAGAGTTGGCAAGTTTTTCGGAAATTTCATGATTATAATTAGTAAAAACTAAATTATAGCCTACCATTTCATGTCACGATCGTGAACAAATTTTATACTCGAAAAAAGCAGATGAAATGAACACTGCAGTTACATTCCCTATCAAAAACGATGGACTGTCCCGCAAAATAATAGTTTTGAACTGAGTAGTTAATCACTACAGACAGTGTGATAGCACATTTCAGTTCATTTGCTCACAAATGAAGTTCAAAATTAAAATACACATAAGTACAAAACTGAACAATGAAACAACGATTTAATATGATTTTAAGAAAGTAGTGGCTCACTGGCAGTATCAGACATCCCTGCTGGACTTTGTACTCATATACTTTATTCTTCTGCATCAATTGATGAAGAAGGCAAATCTATGTGAGTTGTTGTGTGTTCAGTAAAATAAGCATAAAATGTGCTCAAAGTTGAAATAACAAAGTTTTAATACACAATATTGATGACATCTTGCAAGTACAATTTTTGCATCTTACATAGAATTGTGCATCCACAAAAACTTGATCTACTATAAATATTATAGAGTATGAATAAGTTACGCAGTTAAAAATAATTCTTTTTATTTAAAACTTTTACGATTGAGTCTTGCATAAATTTACTATCATATTTCTACGTTTCTCTTTAATGATAATAATTTATATAGAATCGAAGGAAATAACGAGTTCAATAAAATACAGTCAGTTTTAACAAATCTTAAACGCAATGATCCGGAACTAAAAGTACTTCTTGTTTATGGTAGTAAAAGCAAGGACAATTCACGCTCATCTAATTTTTCCGTTCGTTACTTCAGTCTTCTAATAATACATGCAGTATAAAAATTTTTAACAAAAACTTATGTGAAATAAATTTTGTATTTCATGCATTGAAAGTTTATGTCCTTGTTAAAAAGTCTTTCAATTTGTCAAAATATAAATAGATAAAAGTATGATAACAATCTATTGATATACTAAAATATATTATTAAATATTTTAATAACTTTTGATAAGATGAATGAATGTTTTTGTACTCTGCAGAAAGTTGCTCAATATTCGGTAAAAAGACGGGAGTTTGCACAATCAACTATTGACTTTTTACGCCAAAATAACTTCGATGGTATGGTTTTACAATGGGATTATCCGGTGGAGCTATCTCTCGAGCATTCTGCTCTTGTCAGGGTAATCAATACAAGTATTTAACATGAGTTGTATGTTGATATTTACAACTTTATCTAGCTAACCTTAATATTACATGCAAAATGCGATGTTTCTTTTATCACAAATGTTGTTGATTTTTCTTACAAAACATTCATTCTGACAATGAATAATTATGTTTCATTGATTTTGAATCATTATCAATTTCAAATTTAATGCTCGTAATTTTACTACCAACGTTCAACAACTTCATTAACTCACATGATACAATCCTTAGACTATCGTACATTTTCTTTCACCATTAACTTATTTGTATCTACAACAGTATTTTCTGCTCTAAATTATTGCTGTAGATACGACGAATAACAATAAAATATGTTGATGATTTTTGAGCAGTTATTTTTTTAAAGCAATTATTATAATATGCAGGCATTAATAAAAGCATTTGCGAACGAAAATCAATCAAATAACAAGAATCGGTTAATTTTTACAGTGGCAGGATCAGTAAAGAAGCAATCGATTGACGCTAGCTATGCAGCGATTGACGCAAGCTATGCAGCTAATTCCTTTAACAAGTAAGTAAGCAACAAAAAAAAAGCTTAATTATTATATTATGATTTTACAATAAAGTTTTGCACTTCTTATTCTTTGATATTTGCAGAAATACAGATTTGCTCTTTTTGCTTGCTTACGATTTCCACAATGGTTTAGAGCAGACAACTGACTTACCTTCCAAACTATACTCATCTCAAAAAGATGCTGTCGATAATGTTGTTAGTAATTTTCAAAAATTTTCATCAATTCAAAGCATTTTTACTGCACTCTGAAGCAGTAAAATTTGAAAAATTGTATTACTGTATTGCACTGAACAAAAAAAAAGCAAATGATTTATTTAATGACCAAAGAAATATTTTTATATTCAGGCATTCGCAGCTAATTATTGGGTAAGTAAAGGTATGCCAAAAGACAAAATAGTCATCGGACTCTCAGGCTTTGCTACAGGATGGACTTTAGCAGATGCTTCACAAGCAAACATCGGAGCTAGAGCCAGTGGCCCTTCACCACCACTAGCAGAGGGAAATAGCGAAGGTGGCAAAACTGCATATTGGAAAGTACTAATTGACATATTTCATTCTTTGCTTTGCAAACATAAAAAAGTCATTACTACTCTGATTTCAGTAAATTATATAATACTATTTAAATAGAAGATTTACAAGTATTGTTAACAGATTTGTGATTATCTAAATGCAAATGCAAAAGAAACAGTGGACAAAGAACATGTTGGTGCATATTTAACTGAAGGAAATAGATGGTATGGTTATGATAATCCAGAAACCATTAAAATAAAGGTATGTATACACATAGCGATCAAAACATAGTAGTAAATAAAAATTTAATGCATGGGATTTGTATTTTCTTTAGCATTAATTAAGAATTAGTGATCGAGCATTCCCACCAGTTTTACGTTTTAAGGTAAAATGGCTGAAAGAACAAGGATTTGCTGGTGCATTCTTATCTAGTCTAGATGCAGATGACTTCAGAGGAACGAGCTGCGGTGTCGGTGTGTATCCACTGTTGACTACTATTAAAAAAGCTCTTGAGACAGACGATCAGGTATTTATTATTACTTTGCTATCATACGATTTTGTCTGCTTTTGTAATATTTACTACTTGATCTGCGCGCGTATATGTATGTATGCATGTGTGTGTGCGGTATGTGTGCGTACATTGCCTCTATGCGTATGTCGAGTGCGCAGTAAACTAAATAAAGACTCTTATGCTTCAAAATCTATGAAATGCTATCATCAAATGAGGATGATTGATGAGTGGGTTGATTGACAGATGGGTTTGTAGATGTTCGAAAAAAAAAATTCATGTTTTATAAAGTGAGTCTTGAAAGAGCATTACTGTTGACTGTGATGCATATGATTTCCAATTTTCTCTCATTTTTCGTTTCAATAAAGCAAAAATATTCTGTAGCAGGGAACAGAATATTCCACCGTAACAACAACTCTTCTTCCAACCACTTCGCAAATTGATTTAACTGTCGCATCTCAAATCAATACAAGTGATAATGAGGGAAAGCATGGTTAGTTAGTTACCAAAATTTAATTTGTTCATGTCTAAATTATACAACATTAAAGTGGGTGCAATTTACCAATGTTTCGTAATATTTTTTCACTCTGCTTATATTTTTCAAAATGAGAAAATTGATATAATGCTTTCATGATATCTACGATTTTTAGGACTACGATAGAGATTAAATTATTAATAAATGAATTATTATGATAAACGAACTAAATACACAAGCAAAAATTTTAACTTTACACACCTAGTTTCAGTGAATTCAACAGCCTTAATATAAATGTTACACTCATTATTAACCCTAAAATTATATAATTCTATAAACGTTTCTTTATCCTATTATCTCGGGATAATATAAAGTTTATTTTATGGGGAATATAAATTTGTGAACGATCGCTAATATAATTGCCATATGATGAAAAATCACGCAGAATAATTTACTACCATATTCAAAAATATGAATTGGAAAAGATTTAAATGCTGAAAATGGATGAACAAAGTGTAATAGTTACTTTTTTTATATTTAGTACAAGATGGCACTGATAGAAAACATAATCATGTTCGAGCGTGCTACTTCGACGGTTCAGCTCAGAATATACTCGGTAAAATTTGGCATATATGAAATAGAAAGCAAGGATAAGTTATCTCATATTGCAAATATGAACAAGGTTCGATTAAAACAAATTTTTGCTATTATAATTCGATTTAAGGAAGTAGTGGCTCATTGGCAGTATCAGACATCCCTGCTGGACTTTGTACTCATATACTTTATTCTTCTGCATCAATTGATGAAGAAGGCAAATCTATGTGAGTTGTTGTGTGTTCAGTAAAATAAGCATAAAATGTGCTCAAAGTTGAAATAACAAAGTTTTAATACACAATATTGATGACATCTTGCAAGTACAATTTTTGCATCTTACATAGAATTGTGCATCCACAAAAACTTGATCTACTATAAATATTATAGAGTATGAATAAGTTACGCAGTGAAAAATAATTCTTTTTATTTAAAACC